GAACGGCGGCGAGCGCGGAAGTGTGCCGGCCGTCGAGCTGCTTACCGGAAGGGGTGCGAAAAAGCGGGCAAGCTGCGCCGGAAGGGGGTAGCCCGGGCTTCTCGCGAAGGCCTCAAAATTTCGGACGCGACGGCGGCCCTGGACCTACGTGCCCAGTCGCAAACCCAACCCGACTTTGGCTTGGACCACCACCAGCAACAGCATCACCATCAACAGCAACAGCAACAACACAACCAGCAGCAGCAGCAGCAGCAACAGCAGCAGCAGCAGCAGCAACAACAACAACACCACCAACAACCGCAGCCGCAGCAGCAGCCGCAACAGCAGCAGCAGCAGCAGCAACAGCATCACCATCATCATCATCATCACCACCATCACCCGCAGCAGCAACAGGTCCAAAATCCAGACTCGCGAAATCCACCACACCATCACCTTCAACAGCATCAGCATCATCCCGGGAATCATCTCCACTCTGGCGATTCGGGGGGTGGGATAGGAGGTGGAGGAGGTGGCGGTGGAGCCGGTGGAGGTGGCGGTGGAGGTGGCGGAAGTGGCGGCGGTGCAAGTGGCGGTGGTGTTGCTGGTGTTGCTGGAGGGGGATCGGCCGAGGGTGACAGGTCGGGCAGGATCCACGACGAGGACGACGAGGACATCACCGAGAGGGAGGACGAGGAGGAAGACGAGGATCCTTGCAGCTCGCCCGAACCGGACCTCGAAAACGAGCCGGAACCAATGGAGGTCCAAGCGTCGGCCGTCACTGCGGCGGCCGCCAATCTTCACGCGCTCCGGCAACATGTATTCAAAATGTCCGACTATTGGCAACAACCTCAACGGGGCCCGCCCCAACAGTCGCCCGGTATACAGCACAGCCCTATCTCGAACGCGGCCCAACAGCACCAACAGCAGGTGCAGCAACAGTTGCACAGCCCGCTCAGCCAGCAGCAACAACAACAGCAGCAGCAACAGCAGCAGCAGCAGCAGGCCGTGCAACAGGCGAACGCGGGTTCGGGGTTAGGGCAGACGACCAGTCCCCAACAAATGCAGCAGCAGCAGCAACAACAGCACGCGATGTCGATCGGGCAGCAGACGGGTCAAGGGGGGCAGCATCAATCGTCCCCGGTGTCCACCACACCCTCGCCTCAGGCCGATCATCAGGGTGCCATCGCGTCGAGCATGGCCCAGAGCCTTCACAGCCTGGCACAGGCGCAACAGACAATGTCCCAGGCCTCGAGCCCGTCGCTCGCCGTCCAAGCGGTCCAAGCGGCGCAGGCACTCAATCAAAACTTGGGCCAAGCGTTGACGCAAGCGTTGACGCAGAACATGCAACAAAACCTAGGACAAACATTGCAGCACAATCTCGCGCAAAGCCTCACCCCGAGCTTGTCGCCCCAGCAACAGCAACAGTTGCTCAACCAGCCGCAGAATCTGAGCCAGGCCAGCCAGAGCCTGCAGCAGAACATCCAGAGCCAGGCGCAGAATTTGTCGCAAACGTTGCAGCAACAGGCTCAGAATTTGACCCAGAACCTCGGCCAGAGTTTAAGCCAACAGGCGCTGCAACAACAGGCGGCGCAAAACCTCACGCAAAATTTGCAACAGCAGGCGCAAAATTTGACCCAGAATCTGCAACAACAGGCGCAAAACCTGACGCAGAATCTGCAACAACAGGCGCTCAACATGGCGGGCAGCATCGCTCAGAACGGTGCCCTCGCCGGGATGAACATGACGGCCAGCCAGCAACAAAATTCTCAAAACTCGATGCTGAGTCCGGGCGCGACGAGCCAGGACTCCCACGACGCCAGCCTCACGGAAAAACTCGTCAACGAGCTGCAGGTGAGAGAGAGAGCAACGCGTAACGCGTTTGTTATTATACGATTTCGAGAACGGACGAGCAAGCAGGAAGGGAACGTGAACGCTCGTTCTCCCTTCTTTTTCCTCGTCTTCTTCTCCTTCTTCTTCTTCTTCTTCTTTTTTTCCCCCCTCTTTTTTTCTACTTTTGCCCTCCTCCCCTTCTCTCCTTCTCTCTTCTCCATTTTCTCTTTTTCTTTTTCTTTTTTTTTTTTTTTCTCTTCTTTATTTTCTCGATCTCGGTCCGTCGTACTTCTCTCCGTCCGTAAGCTGCGAAGAGAAGAGATAAATAACTGGGACGAGGCAACCGCGATAAAAGTGCATAATGCGCCGATAAATAGGGTCATTCACTTGAGCCGACTGACGCCGGACAATACTTTCAAACAGTTTCTACCGATGGAGAAAAATACGCGTCTCCTCTTTCGATCTCACGCATCTCTTTTATTCTCTCGCACGCTCGTTCCGCTTTCGATAACGACCGCGAAAATAACCACGCTAATGATTCTCTCTACGATTCTCTCTCTCCACACGCTCCTTTCCGCGCAAAAATGGAAAATGTCGCGTCGCGTCGAAACTTAAATTCGAATTGTTTTGCCATTCGAGTCCTCCTAAACTCGTCCGTATAAATTTTCTTTTTCTTCTCTTTTTTTTCCCGTTCGGGGAATTCGATCCGATCGAACCGAAAAAAAGAAAGAAAGAAAGAAAGAAAGAAAGAGAGAAAGAAAAAGAATATAAAAAAAGAGAGAGAAAAGAAGAGACGCGAATAATCGGCAGGTTAGAGGAGGACCTCCCCTCCCCCCCTCCAGTCTGTTCCCGTCCGTATCGGCTTAACTGGATGACTTTCAATAAATCGCGCTACATCGTCGACAATTTCGCTGACCGTTTGAATCTGCGACTGTACCGAGATACACTGACCATGGTTCACGCACATCGGAATACGTTGACTTACCACATCGCGTACCAACCGCGTATATACACGTATATAACCCGCGTGTTACGTGGAACGAGCAAGAGAGGGAGAGTGAGAGAGTGATCGCGATAGAGCGACAAAGAGAGAGAGAGAGAACAAGAGAGAGTGAACGTTGCGCGCGAGATCGCGCGCGCGCGCGCGAGCGCGCTCCAGCTAGCTAGCAGGCAGGCAGGCAGGCAGGCAGGCAGGCAAGGCAAGCCAAGCCAAGCAAGCAAGCAAGCAAGCAACCAGCCAGCCAGCCAGCCAGCCAGCCAGCCAGCCCGCCAGCCAGCCAGTCAGCCAGCCAGCCACGCACACATTAGAGTCACGGGGCCACAAATGCAAACGCGGCCCACGCACACCGATGCGAGGAGATGCAGATACGTCGTCTCTCGGGGTTCTTGACCCGCGCAACACAGATAATACTATACGCATACGTCATACGGTACGCCGAGAAGATGTTCTCGAGAAAATATCGCGGCGTGCTTCTGCGATGCCACAGTCCGCGAGCTTCGATACGAGGAAACTAAGTAAATATATCCCCGCAGATCCGCTTCGGTCTCACCGCTAATAGGAATCCGAAACCTTTTTCGCTCACGGCCATTATATACACGCGCGCGTACACGCGTACACGTACACACACGCACACGCGGCACACACGCATACACGGGGCAACGGTGAATTCGTCGCAACGGGCAGATTTTACGATACGTATACGCCATCCATTTCACGGACCGAAGGATGACTAAGGATGACGATGGACGATAAATGGCGGTGGAAAAAGTTGAACGACTTCTCGTTCGCACGACAACAGCGAACCAACACGAGATCCGAGTGTCTGCGTCACTTTTACAACGCGGATGATTCTTTTTCTTTTTTTTTTTTTTTTTCTCCTCCTTTGAACTTTGACAAAGTTCAACAAGTATCCACCGCCATATTTTTTTTTCTATCTTTCTTTCTTTTTTTTTTTCTTTAGATCGATTTTCCCCGTTTCTCGATCGAACTTTTTTACAGCGTAGCGTTCGTCTCGTCGAACTTGTCTTCGATTCTACTTGTCTTCTAGGAATGAAAGCGATTTTGCGTAGTGTATTGGCGGAGTATAAAAAAAAAAAAAAAAAAAGAGAAAAAAAAGAAAAGGAAAGTGAACTAACACGAGCCTCCTGTCTTGCCCGATAGTCTCGTGCCTCTGCGGCGGGACTTGGAGGTGCGGGAGGCGCCGGCGGAGGCGGAGGAATGGGCAACATCAGCGAACGCACCCTCGAGGAATGCTGGTCCACCCTGCAACGAGTGAGTTGAACACTCAGCCCGTTCAAAATCCCCTTATTATTTCTCCTCGTCGCACAGCTTCCTGCAACTTCTCGCTATTATTTTTTTTTTTTTTTGCTCTCTCTGTAGTTTTACTTTTTTTATTTATTTATTTTTTTTTTTTCTCGTCAATTCGTACACATTTCGCGCAAGGCTCGTCGCGATTCTCTCTCTTATTTCGTGCATCCAATTAATCCTCCTTTTTTTTTTCTTCTTTTCCACACACACATATACGCACACATATGTAATTATAATGATACATCTCCCGCACGTTATATCAATCGTTTACTCAATCGTTTCCTCTCTGGCGATCTTTCGATTTCGCACGATAATTCGCACGAATCGTTCATTTCTTTTCTTCTTTTTCTCCCGTTTCTTCTTCTCCTCTTTCTTTTTTTTTCCTTTCTTCGTCTCGATTCCCCGTCTCGAAGGAGACGAATCGAGGGATCCGAGGACTCGCATCGTTTTCTTTCTTTCCTCCCACCCTCCCCCTCCCCATTCCATTTTTTTTTCTCTCGTTACACTCATCGCACATAGTCTCTTTATCGCAGCTCTAGCATGCTCTACGTGCGTGTATGCGCTTCTTCTCTCGCAGATATTTATTTATTCATTTATTTTTTTTAATATTAAGAAACCGCTTCGCAATCGCTAAGTATCGTTCATACGAACGATAAACTGCTCAACGACAACTGCTCTCGATCGTCGATAAATTTACGTTTGACCGCCGTGGCGGTTCGATCGATCGATCCATTACGCGTAACCATTACGATTACGATTTACCACGAGCGGAGGAGATTTTTTTTTTATTTATACCGATAATACCGTGGTACATAATAGGTAGATGATCGAGCGTCTCGAACAACGGTATCTTCCGTATATATATATATATATATATACATATATAAAATATATATATATATATACGCAAGATAATACAGCGTTTAATTGTTCCATACGCGTATTCCACGCACGATGCAACCGATTTAATAGGACACTCTGTCGCGATCGATACGTACGACTCTCCTCGTATATGGCGTTGTCCTTTTACGAGGGGAAGAAGAAGGAGCGAACCGAAATGAAGGGAAGGGAAAGGGAAGGGAAGGAAAGGAAAAGAATGGAGAGGAAAGGAAACACCGCTAACGAGCCGTGAATCGAATTCTCTGGACTATCCGTTCGAGAAGAGACGAGTCTTTCGCCCGCCCGTCGAAAGAAAAGGGAAGAATTGTGGTGGTTGCGGACGGTTAAAAAGAAAGACAGACAGACAGACAGACAGAGAGAGGGAAAGGGAAAGATCCCCCCGGCTCTCGCGCAAAACTTTTAAATTCTCCTACCACCACGCAGAGAGAGGCAGTAATAGTAGTACGAAAAGCAACAATTTGTTTCGCTAAGTAGCCACCGCGTTCTTTTGTTTTTCCCCCCGGTTTCTTTTATTCCTCCTTGCCACTCGGGGAGGGAGGGAGGGAGGGAGGAGGCGGGGGGATGGATGGATGGATGGATGGAAAGGTGGTAAAGGTGGCGCTCCCTCCCCTTCCCCTCGCCTATCGCCACCTTGAAAGTGGCCGAAGGAGGGAGGGAGGGAGGGGCGAGACGTTGGCGAACTTTGGGAAAATCGCAAAAACGCCGCACGATGGCGAAGTTTTCGCGTTTTCCCGGGGATTTAATTAAAACATTCGCCTCCTTTGTATAAAGCCGGCTTCGTGTATATAACCGCATCGTGAATCTCCCCGCCCGGTTCAGGAACCGGCGCCCGCTTCCGGCTTGTGCTCGCGACAAAACCGCGACCGTATCCATCCCTTTCCTCCGCGGCGAGAGCGAAAGCGAAAGCGTGCGATGATCGACGGGGAAAGGGGAAGGGGAGGAGGGGAGGGGGAAGAAAAGAAGGGAGAGGGAAAAAAGAAAAGAAGGATGGGAATCGGGGGGCAAGGAGCACGACGCGAAATAAATACGCGATTCGAGTGACGAATGAGAAAACAAAGGGTGGTACGGAAGGAAGGTGGAAAGGAAGGAAGGAAGGAAGGAAGGAAGGAAGGATTAAAGCGGCGCAACGTTGTATAAACACTCGTCGCGAGAGTGATTCTCATGAGAGGGGTTCTCTCGATCAGGGGGAGGGGGGAGGAGGAAAGAGAAAGAGAAAGAGAAAAAGAGAGAGAGAGGTTTTCTTTTCTTTTTTTTTGTTCTTTGACCGGCTCGAAAATTAAAATCCAATTATTTTCGACACCTTTGCGCGACCCTCCGGCATTTTCAAATGAATTTTTTGCCCCCAAACTCATTTCCCTCCCCGGGAGTCCCTCGCTCCTTCCTCGACGAACGCCGAGCGCCGTTAAACCGGTTCGAAACGAATCGAAGGTAACGTTACGCGGCAACGATGGGCTTTTTACCCTTGACCGATCCACGATCCCGATTTTGAATCGGGACGACGACAGCTGCCAGAACCGGAACCTCGCCACGGGGAAAAGAAGAGAAGGAGGAAGAGGAAGAGGAGGAGGAGGGAGTGGGAGAAGAAGAGGAAGAAGAGGAAGAAGAGGGAGAGAAGGAAGACGAAGATGGGGAACGGGGGAGGAGGGGGGGAAGGGGGAGAGGAAACAGATCGAAGTTATTCGCATATAATCTCATGGACGTAACGCGGAAGAGCGCGTGGAAAACGCAACGAGGTAAATTGTCTCCCAAATTCGTCGCTCTTCGTTTCGTTACGATACGATATCGTAAAGTGGATCACAAAAGGTGGAAACAACAACAAAAAACCGGTGGAGGAAAGGAAAAACGCGTTTCTCACGTTCGCCATCCCCTTCGGGGCGCAACCATTTTTTTGCCTTCAACCCCCGAGTGGTTCCATCGTATTATTTAAATAACGGTGTTCACGCGCGTTGCATTGTTTCGTACTAACCCTTCTACTATTACGAAAAAGGGGATGAGAAAGAGAGAGAGAGAGAGAGAGATCTTTCTCCGTTGCGAACGGGAGGAAGAAAAACCGGAGGAAGGAGATGAAAGACTCGAAGAAGGGCGGGAAGAGGTAGAGTAGAGGTACTTCCGTGCCGCGTGGCCGTTACGGCGAAGGCAAAATTACGACATCTCAAGTCCAGGGGCAACCATCCTACCTTCCTCCCCTACATTCTCTTTACGTACAAAGTTTCCTGGCTTTTCAGTAATTTTCTATGATTTTCAGATCGCATGATCGCTAACAATAACGCAGGCCGCCCCGTGCCGGCTGTTAAGATCGCCTCTAATCGAATTGTTCGATCTTCGGAATCAAAGCGAATTCCCGAGACAACTGCCTCCTCCCCCTCTCGCGGAAGGGAGAGCACCGGAAATAGCAAAATTTCCAAGGAATCGCGTTTCTATCCGCGTTCGAAACTATCCGTCCGTTAAAAGGCGACGATGGCCTTTGTGGTGGTCGTCCGAATCGACGAGGGAAAAATCGAGGGAAAATTTTCGACGAGGAAGGGGGAGAGGGCGGAAAACTAACGGAGAAAAGCTGAGAGAAGGAGGAAAGGTTGCAAAGTGGTGTGGCGGCGGCGGCGGCGGCGGCGGTGGAACGTTCTTCGTACGAGCCCGCGTTGTACGGTTGTTCTTTCTTCCTCTTCTTTTTCCATCTCTCGCTCGTTCTCTCTCTCTCTCTCTCTCTCTCTCCTTCCTCGTCGTTCGCTCGCGCGGTTCCGCCATGACCTACCCCAAGCGCGGTCGGCGGAGAAAAAGAAAGAAAGAAAGAAGGAGCGAAACGAGGAGGGGAGGGGAAGGGAAGGAGGAGGCGGAGGAGGGAAGGGAGGCGAACCGAGAGAGACGGGGAGAGAGAGAGAGAGAGAGAGAGAGAGAGAGAGAGAGGAGGAGGGAAAGGGAGTGGAGGAGGAGGAGGAGGAGGAGGAGGAGAGAACTCGCGCGCCCACACACGGCTTCCAAGTTGCAACGTGGATGACCACGTTGGATGGAGAGGAAGGAGCGAGCGAGATGGAGGGAAGGGAGAGGAACGGAGAGGAAAAAAGGGAGGAGGGCGAGGAGTGGACGGAATAGAGTTTATTCTTTGTGTCGCGCGTATGGTTACGCGCTTTTTTTTTTATCGTTCGTTGACTCCGCTCCGCGTTCTGCAGTCGCGTTCACCGCATCGCTCGCCACGATAAGATTACATTCACAGGGGCGGTCATGCGCGATCACGCCAAACTCCCAAACATCCGCGCGCTTTTTCCCTCCCTCGCCAGATTTCGCCTTCGTTTCGAGATCACCTCGCCTCCTCCTCCTCCTCCTCCTCCTCCTCCTCCTCGTCCTCGGAGGAGACGCGTCGATAAAGTCATCGAGAGGATGACACGTATGTACGCTCTCGTTCCTTCCATCCTCCACGCGAAAAATGAAAAAAAAAATCGACCGATTCTGTCGTCTGCGTGTACTACGTTTTACACCCGTTTCGATATTTTCCCGAATTGAAATCGCATCGGTGCGAACGGTGCGTACGTTTCTCGGCGATCGCGCGAGAGTGGAGCAAGAATAGAGTATCGACCGAACTTATTAAACAACCGTTATCCTACGTGCCACCGGTAATTGTTGCAAACTCGAAACGTGACGCGTACGCAACACCCATTATCCCGCCGCGCCGCGCCGCTTCTCCACTCGAATGCGAAACATTCGGGTGGCGTGTAACGCGGCCCCTGGCCGCGTTGAGGAGAGAGGAGAGAGGGGAGGAAAGAAACGCGATCGAGGAAGAGCGGGAAGAGGAGGAAGGAGGAGAGGAAAACGGAAAAACGTGGAAATCGTGGGAGATAGGCGGATAGGATAGGTTATATACTCTCTTGTACTTCGAGGATAGGTCTGAGCGGAGAGTCGAGAGAAATCTCAGCGGCCGATCGCGAGAGAGAGAGAGGGAGAGACCGCGCGCGTATCCCAGAACCTTTCCTCTCCTCTGTTGGTCGGAGCTGCCGCGGCAAAAGATCGTTGCCCTTCTAAATATAAGTTTGCAAAATCGAACAGCAAAACTGCCGAGTTTTGCCGTGGTCTGT